TTCTTTGGTACTTTATGGAGGTGTAAATATTTTTTTTATACGTTAGGGTAATGTACTCTAACATACTCAGGAGGTTTGAAGACCTCTGGCAGAACTGTTTTGTGTTTAAAGCTGGGACTCAAAGAGTAAATTTTTTTTTATATATCCTAATCTGGCTAAAAATGACCATATTCTGTATATTTTTCGTATGAACTCTGCCCTACTGGCACAGATGCATTAATTTTACTGTAAATAGCAACCACAGTATCATTGTACAACAAGGAGCTGCTTAATGTCTTATACTGCTGCCGAAAGAAGAGTAGGTATTTGTAAGGTGAGGGGGGAGAGACGGGTGGCAGAGGGAGTGGGGGGATAGGGAGAGACCTTTGAACATGATGCAGCCTCAAGATATTCAGGGTTACACAATTTTGTTGCTCTGACATAATACACACACAAAAGAAGCCCTTCAGTGAGAGGGAAGTTAGGCCAATTCCAAACAAGTCTGCGAATCCCTCACTGGTAATGGTCCCCCATTCAGCCTCTGGGCTTTGTTTTCAGCTCCTTAAGAGGCACGTTTATTCCAGGTTCAGCAAGAAGCTCCTTACATGGAAATTCGTATCTCAGATCAGTTGTGCCATGCAGATGTACTGACTTACGTATGGAAAATTTTCATTAAATATACTACACATAGTGATTTTTTAGAGCATACATACCAAAAAACCCAAATAGTTGGAAAAGCAAGTGTTCATGGGAAAAGATCATTCCGTAAAACACCAATGAGAAGTCATTAATCTTTTTTTTTTCTGTATTTATTAAAAGCTTGCAGTAATGTTGCTTTACCAAGATATATATGTTGAAGATGGTTGCTGAAGAAACTGGATTTGTTTTAATTTATTTAGTGAGGTACCAGGCTTTTAGGTGCTTAAATGGAGAGCAAATTTGTTACGTGCAATAGGGAACTGCTGGTTAAAAGGTGTAACATACTGTTTCTGAACATCAGCAAGACAGACTTTAACTACTGCTTGTTCTCCAAGGAACACTGGTAGCTCTCAATTCTTGTTGACATTGGAAAGAGAATTAAACATATATATTTACTTTTTGACTAAACAGTTGTTTTGCATAGAAATGTTGTTTTATGTAGGAATTTAATTAAAGGTGGTTTTACTTTGTTGAGAGTAATTTATTATTTTTTGTTGTTGTTTTGAGGTTTTGTTGTTTCTTTTAAAGGTCGAGAACCTATCTGGAGGATAGTGTTTTATGTACTCAATTGATTCTCTTGTCCTTACCCTTCGGCCTAATCTGTCCAAAAAGACCTCTGCTTCCAGAATAGCTTAAAAGTAACAAGTGGGTTTTGGTTTGGTTTTGGTTTGGTTTTCTTATAATATAGTAGCATTTAAAGTGTGCCATGTCCTCCCTTTTTTTTTTTTTTTTTTCTTGTTAAAGCTGATGGGATGAAAGGTAAAAAGAAACTACTTGGCAGGTGACAACTCTGAAAAGAGTAATTTCATCCTCAGCTAATTCACAGCATATAAACTCGCATAAGTAACCGTTCCTGGACATGTTATATTTTTATGTGAGACAGAGTACTCAAACATCTTTGGTATGTCATCTTCTTGAGGGAGATGTAACCTTTCCTAGAACTTGAGATGAAGTTGGCAAGTTCACCTTGACTGCTTGGGGCTGGTGTGCAAGGCACGTGATAGGAGGGAGCATGGTGGAATCTTTATATCTGTAGCTAAAAAGATGAGTCAGTTTCATGTTCCACCTCTGACTTCTGGTGAGGGTTTGAACAAGTCATTCAAGTCTGAGCCTTAGATTCCCATCTGCCAACATGGAGGAAGCAGCATTGACCTCCAGATGCAGAAACACCTTCCCTCAGTTACCACTGGGATATTGCACAGAGTGAAGATGATTTGTGTTGTGAGATTTTTTTTTGGATGTGACTTCAATGCAGGTTATAAAAGTACTTGAGATAGGCAATGTGATTTCCTCACCATCTTCTTTGAGATAGCAAGTATTTAGAGATGATTAGAAAATACTACTTCTGCTTGGTATTTGTGTTGGTGAATAGCCCTTGAATAGGCTGTTGTATTTGGTTGTCTTTACCTTCACCGTTTACTCTTTGCAATTTATTAGCAACAATGATGAAAGTAAGTTAAGAGACTTGTTAAATGTCGTATTTTCATGTTTGACAGGAAAAGAAAATGATGCATTTTCCTCATGTAATTTGAACTTACTTGGTGTTCAGATAGCTGAGAGGATGGCACATCTCAGAAGAGTGCTTTTCCAGGTTGACCTCTCGGGTGGACCTGACACAAAGCAGTGTTTATAAGGTTACTAAGGTTAATTGTGTGATATTTTCGTGTTAAGTTTTGAATGGATTACTGGTTTGCTGAATTGTATTAGTAAATAGATCATCACTTTCCCTGGGTATCCATCATCCCTGCTACAGCTTGTGGCATACAGATTTTCATTCAGAAAATAAATGAATTAACTGATTGTGAAAAGTAGGAGGAGAGGCAATCTGTCCTACATGTGTTATCATCCAAGAGGAGAATACTGGACTTTTGTCACATCAGTCCATTAATTATTTCTGTACTTGCCTCCCAATGTCTAGCTATAGTGTTAAAATGGTTAATTTGGGCTGAGTGAGATTTTTTTGTCTTCTTCTGAGCCATTATTTTTGACTGTCTGCAGAATTCAGAAGGCATCAAATGGTCAGATTATAACACAAGACTTTAAAGATTTTGTTCTTAACAGTGAGTAGAAACGTAACCTTTTTAAACGTGGAGCTTTGGAAAAGATGTTTAATGCAGCTGTAGAAAAGAAACGTAAGCTGCAACTTTGGTATAAAACACCGTCAGTTCAGACGGTCTCATGATAATTACTTTTCTCCAAGTCTACTTGTACGCTAATCCACACATTTCCACTGGAAAAATGACTTTTCTTAAACCAACTCTGCTTCTCAATGCCTTCATTGTATCTGACAGAGGGAGAAGATACTAGACTGCTTTAAAAACAACAGCAACTGAAACTGGGTAAATGTAGTGTGTATATTGTATAAATTTGTGCTGGTTTTCTCTTGATTGCACCATTACTTGATGGGTTTGTTTCCTTTACCTGCCATCATTTGATTTGTGACAAATGGTGACAACTGCTGCTTTTATACTCCTGCTTGTCCTATATTTAATTTCCAGGTAAAGAGCTCCCATCGATTTTCCCCTCACCAGTGGAGTTGCTTCCTTTCCCTTTTATGCTTGTATCATTTTTATTGACAGAGGCGTGTTGTCATTCATGTTCTAGTGAATGCCTTTGACAGAGCCCAATATTCCTCTTTAATTTCCTAGAGCTATTGGAATCAGATAATTAAATAGTGCAGGCTTTTAATAATTAATATGTCAGGCTATGATCATAGCTTTATTCTTTAGGAATGATTTCAAGCCTAAATATTTTAAGCATGTGATCAATATTTCTATCATTCTTTCACAATATATTGTATTAATACAATTACATGTCTGAGCTGGCTTTAAAATCTAAAACTGAAATCCTGTGCTCGCATAATGCGTTCCAGTTTTTGGCAAGTTTTCCTAAAATAATTTAAAAAATAACTTGTCTGGCATAATACTGCCGAGAGATGAGGGAGCAGAGCTGTCTTGATGGGAAGCGAGTTTTAGTAGGTGCTGCCATATGGGATGGAGTGCTGCATTGCTGTTGGACCTCACAGTTTACATAGGACTGTGGGGCTTTTCATAGACAAATGTGCCTCATTCTGGGCTGGCTCAAGAGATAAAAGCCTGACTAAGCTCAAGGTAGTGGTTTTATTGCCTGACCACAATACCACACTGACTTCCAGTGCAAAACTGTTTTGTTGGAGGCACACCTGTCTGCCTCTGGCTGTTGGTGGATATAGTCTGGGCATAAGGTTAGTAGTGAAATGGTTTCTGTAACTGGAATATCTTTGCAAATCAGTCAAAGTAAGATCATAATCATAAAATCTCAAGTGGTCACATGGACATAGGAACTGCTGATCTTTCGTGTTTTGGCATGTCAGTTCAGAAAACTAGCTTTGCCTTTCCTGAGCAAATTTGTTTAGACGGTGTGGATGTGAAAGCTTCCTCTGACATCTTCTGTGGGAACAGCATGCGTAACCTCATGCCCACATGGGTTGGTCACTTGGGGAGCACAGCTAAATGTCCACTAGTTGAGGGGCTAAGGAGCCAGCAGAGCTGGATTTTCTAATGTTTCCATGGGAACACTGGGGACTTTTTCATATAAACCTGAGTGCGTGGAAGGAACAAACTTTGTGTCAGGAATACGTGGCACCAGGCAGATCTCTGAAGCAGATTTCAGTAGCCAATCCAGGAAGGGTGCAGTAATTTTAACAGCTACTGCTACTGAGAGAACTTGAGTGCTGTGCTGCACATGCTGCCTCAATGCGTTATTCTTTCCAAGCATGACTGATCAAGAAAGAGGGTATGTGCTTCTGCGAATGCTGACCAGGGAGTTTATTTACCCTGCTCATATTACTTACCTGTTCTTCAAACTGCGTAACAGAACAGCATTAACTGCTGATGAAATGAGGAGAAGAGAAAGCTTTTTCCCTTTAATGAGCTAGGTTTGCTATTACTTGGATGCCTTTCCAGCCTCATAGTCCATATGAGGAACTTGCTGTCTGTCCTCAAGCAAACTACAAGGGAGAATTCTACCAGTCAGACACCGATAGCACTTTGTTGTGTCACCTCTGGAACACTTGGCTAGAAGCTGACTTAACTGTGTAACCTGTTTTAGCAGGTTTTACTGTATTGGACTGTCAGATTTAAAATAATGCTGCTGTGATGAGCTAGTCCATCCTTTCAGTCTGTTGCCATGCTTCTCCTCAGGTCATTATCTGGAGAAGTTTCCCCTGGGATTGCTTGATGAAGAGGGATGGGAATGAATATATATTTCTTAAGTAATGGCATGGCTTATTCTTGGCAAGCCTGTGA